TTATCAAATTTTGAAATAGTCAAATTTTTTACGTTTTACGAGACAATTGGGTGTCAGGAGACCTCACAAATGTCCCCAAAAATAAAATTTATGAAATTTCCTTATAATTGAAGAAAAGTTCAAATATAACTAATTTGAACTTAAATCGGGAAGAAATTAAGTTATTTCGGGACAAAAACGAACTTGGAAATAAGCAACGTGCGGCGCGACGTGGACCACACAACTAAAGGATATAAATAAGAAGAAATATCTGATTTTTCTCTTTATTTCATCTGACTTCTCACGTTAGAAGAGAAAGAGAGAGAAGAGAGAAAAGAGAAAAGAAAATTTTTATCTTCCCTCTACAATCTACGGAGTTTCGGCGGTCGAAATCCCTTGGACCAAGAGTTAAAGTCGATCATATCGACGAGGGCTACACAACCATACCAAGAACAAAGGATTTCACCGAAGATCCAAAAAGGAGATTTGGGGAAATCAAAAGTTTTGGGCTTAGGAGGTATTCTTGAAGGTTCTACTCTTCATTTTACGCTTTAAGAGAGAGGGTTCCCTCCTACTTTGGTTTATTTCTAACCGAGGATGTCCATATGAAATGGGTAGGTGTATAGCGAGATATGTCACTTTCCTATTGTTATGGAAAAGAGGAAATGGGTATGAAAATGACATAAACCAATTTCTAGTTTGAATTTGGTGTAGGGAAGTTACTTGTGTAATTTCTTAGAACTTGATATTATGTGGGAAATTTTATGTGGAAACATAATTTGGTGCCTTGAAGGTGTTTGCTAAATACCTATGTGAGAATTAAGTTTGTTATGACATGAATGATGTATGACAAGCTTGAGAAAATGGTAATTGAATAAATGAGTTGATATATGTTGTTAATATATTAGAATCATAAGGGTTAATGGTGATTATATGTTGAGATATAAATTGCCATGGGATATGTTGATATGCGGTTTAAATTGCTTCTTTGACATTCATTGCATATTGGGCATGAAATTGACATTGTATTCCTGGGCATTTGACATGAGTGTGAGTGTGTGTGCATGGTCTGATCAAACACCATACTTGGTGATTGATGGGTGGGCTCGGGAAAGTTGGATTGAAGATCCGATTGAGTCGCATGGTTGCACAAAAACTTGTGTCGGGTATAACAAGAAGGGATAGATTCTCCCTCGGGTGAAAAACCCAGTCACTTGGTTCATACACTCTCCTGTAATGAAATTCTAGAAAAGTGTAATGGCATACGAAGCCAGTGGTGTGATTCCAAAATTCGATAACCAATAAAGACACATGACTTTGTTTTTATAAAGTACTCATTCGATGGGTAACATCCAACAATGATTTGGTTTTATAAACACGTGCATTGCATTGTATTGTGGGAGTCGGTGAGGACTCGGGTTAAAGTACACAAATGAGCATCATCTCATATCATGACACGACATGGTAGAATTCCCATCTTGAATTATATGTTCTTGATTGGAATGGATTATAGTTGTTAATTGTTGTATGAACACATTTCATATGCATCTAGGTTGGGGAGTAGCTTCTATAGGAGATACTCTATTGAGCATGGCTCACCCTATATGGAAAAATATTTCAGGTGCGGGACTCACGCCTGTGGATGGCTTTTATTCGGAGCCTCGAGGATGAAGAGAGACCGACTTGTGGCCTTTAATTCGTATTTTTGTAAAACATTATGAAAATCAAGTTTTAGATGTGTAATCTTTTGAAAATGATTGTAATAGAACTTGTATTAACTATGATTGATAAACAAATATATGTTATATGAGTTTGGGTAGGTTTGAAATGAATTGAAAATGAAAAACAGGTGAAACAGACAAATCTAAGCAAAACCTACCGGTAGGACCTATCGATAGATCGNTTATATGAGTGTGGGTAGGTTTGAAATGAATTGAAAATGAAAAACAGGTGAAATAGACAAATCTAAGCAAAACCTACCGGTAGGACCTACCGATAGATCGTTGTCCAGTGGGCAACACCAACCGGTAGGACCTTGTACAGGCAGAGTTTTGTATGTCAGGCAAAACCTACCGGTAGTACATATCGGTAGGACTTTTCCAGTGGACGAAATCTATTGGTAGGTTCTCCAAAAGTTTGAAACTTTAAGACTGCCTTATCATGCTTTTGGACTTTGGCTTCTTTGGGTCCAAGGATATAAATGAATATAAAATAAGTATAAATTGTGATATATTGGACTTAGTTGGGTCAAATGGCAAAATACGCATGTGTTATACGTGTGGANATAAATTGTGATATATTGGACTTAGTTGGGTTAAATGGCGAAATACGCATGTGTTATACGTGTGGGTAACAATTCCAATTAAAGGGATTCTATTGATGTGATGTCGGATTGGGTAACAATCATGGGTATTTCCACGAGTTGATGGATGGTCAACGGTTGACAGAGGACCCTCATTTCTAGGGGCGTCACAAGACATAAACTAAAACTATAAACTAAAATCTTTGTATGATAGTGTGTTACTAGGGTACCCCGTGCAAATTACTTTTTTTTTTTAACTGTGATTAATGGTTAAAATAGAAATCGTAATATAAGAAGCTATATCCAAATGATTTGAGTCGTTTTTGTGCTTTATTCAAGATGTTCTATTTATTATTATATTAGGGTGAATTCGTGCAAAGCATATTTTTTCTATGTAGAGTTAAAATCTAAGTGAGTAGTTAAAATTTTTATTATGGTTAAAATATTTAATATAGTTAAAAGGTTAAATCTAAATTGTAGTTTAGATNTTTTTTTTTCTTTGTGTAGTTAAAATCTAAGTGAGTAGTTAAATTTTTTATTATGGTTAAAATATTTAATATATAGTTAAAAGGTTAAATCTAAATTGTAGTTTAGATGTAATTAATAAGATAAGTCAATAGATTTACATGATCTGGATCATTATTTTATTTTTCAAAGTCAGAAGCTTAAGTAGTACACTTAATTTTAGTATTAAAGAATCATTCTAAACAAGTGTAGATAAGATAAATTTGGACTCAAATTACAATCAAGAGGTTCTAGACTTGTGTCTATAATGTAAATTCCAATTATACATGGACTAAATCAAGAATCGAACCAAAACACTAAGATGTTATTACACTACAGATTTTGCACTATTTTTTACTGCTTATTCGCTGGTCCTAATAGTAAAAAACTCTAAATTAACCAGCATATCACATGACATTTGAAAGTATAAATTCACTACTATAAATGGAGCCTTTTGAACAAATTGCTATTTTATTGGCGTCTACAACAAACTAATCTAGAAAATATGGCTGAGCTCTTCTAGCTTTGTGTTCCTTCTTTTTCCTTTTACTTTTATAAATCAACAAGCTCGACAAAGACTATGGGTAAAGCAACAACCATATGCACTTTAAATTGTAATTCAATTCTAGTGAGATTACTCTCTTGTTTTAACCTAAGGGAAATTTGTTGGCTGGTACATATTCTAAGGATTTTAGGTAAAAAATTTCTGTAGTCAAAACATGTTGGACAAAAGTTCATTGTGACAAGAAAAGACGAGAAAGCCATTTAAGTATTGAAAAATTGAAATTTGAAAAGTCAAGCAATAGATCGGTTTTTTAGAAATCGATTAATGCAATCCCCTTTTTCCAGCAAACAATAAACACGATCCCTTCACATTCTCAACTAGCATCTTCCACTTTCATCGGATTTTATGATTTTCCAAAACCTTAGCATTACCTCTGTTTGTAATCGATAGTTCTGAAGATGAAGGCTATCAACTTCTTTGAGGGTCTGGGTTGTTAAATGGACTCCGTCGACAACATATAATGACCCTTTAACAATAAGTTGTGGAAGTTTTAATAGTTGTTCTGGCATCATTGAGGTGTTCCGGCATCATCATAAAGACTCTTCGCTGGTTGCTGTTCAAACGACTCTTTAACAGTAAGTTTTGTAATTTTTGTTTTGTTTTTTCATTAATTTTTTTTTACATAAAACCCAAAATGAAAAATCAAGAGTATTAATTTTTTGAGTGATCGTGCAATTGTTTTTGAATGAAATCTATCATAGTTTTTATTGTATTTACAAAGATAATAANAGTATCAAATTGAGGAAAACGGATGTCACTCTAATATTTGGAATTGAGGATGGAAGCGAGACAATAAATGCAACAAACCATGGAAAAGAGTCGACGACATTCGTTTAATGGAGGTTCAATAGAGATGATAGGTTGTCTGCACCATTGATAAAAACAAGTTAAAACAAGCAGTAGACAGGAATACGTAGGAAGACTATGATGACGTAGAAAGACTATATTATGTTTATACCTACTGGTTACTCTGTTCTTCACAAATATGGGGCACACACTTGGATGGGGTTATGTCCCATATATGGAGAATTTGTATGAGATGAAGAATTTTGATTGGTCGGAGGCCATACATGGTGCAATTATATCATCACTGAGAAAAAAAAGGAGCTCTCCATCAATAGTCACTAGTTGTGTCTATCTTATACTTGCAAGTTGATTGTACAAAACTAGTTAGTTTATTTTACAAATGGAAACATGAAAAAATTATGTGTTGACCCTTTATTTTCATTTTTTGAAGTTCTTGCTTTGCGAGCACACAACACTGGTAAATCTTGAGAAACCAAATGCATTTTCAAGATTCTTAAAATAGAAATTACCAAGTCTACAAAGAGCTATCAAACAAGGGAAGATGTAGAAAATCCAGCATGTATGTTTTGTAATAAGTAGAGTTAATTATTATGAATATGAATATGCTTAAATTGTCACCGTGTTTTCGTCACACTGTTGTAACTTGGTCTTTTTATTCATAATGACAACATATTGTGAAACTATTATAATGTTACTCTATTAATTTGTGACTTTCATTTACCCATACAGGTTTTGAAAAAAAGATTGAAAAAAACCAAGGAAGAGAAGAATTTAATCAAAACACTTTGGCCTAGAAAACCAATGATTGAAACTCATGAAGAAATAGGAGCAACAAACTTTTAGGAGTCCATTGAGGAAGGAAAAGTGGGTGAAAAAGATGAGGCAGAACAAATAGTTGATGACAGATTGCAATACAGTGATGATGAAGCATTGTTTGATGTTGATAACGATATTATGGATATTATTGGAGATAATGACAATCAAACTGAGCCATTTGAAACCTTGCTTGATGTTATGAGCTTTGCGTCAACACAAAGAGATGGTGGAAATGTTTTTGAAAAGGCCAAAGCATATGGTTATAAAGATTTGACCTTTTTACAACTATAGATACATGAAAGTTTAATCAACAAACAAAGGATTGGGATGCTAACAACAGAAAATGAAGAGTTGAAAAAGGTGACCAGATGAATGGAAAGGAATGAAAAAAATAAAAAGCAAGGAGATGAACATTCAGATGATGTTTTCATGGAAAAACAAGTCACGATTTCACGATAAAACTAATTGAGAAAGCTACATAAATTTATGAGTTATAGAATCTGGTGAAATTATGAAAAAAGAAAATGAAGTTGTCAAGGTTGAAATGACACAAATTGAAGTAAAGAATGGAGAACCAATCGACCAGATTTGGCAAGTTGTCTGTGAATGCCAATACTCAACGGTTCCATAATTTGTCAAATCCAGTGCAAATTCCTAGTATAACACTAGAAAGTGTTGAAGAAATAGACCAAGTCCAAAACACAACATCAAAGATGGACAATCATCTATGGTTAGAAAGATCAAATTGAAAGAGAGGAAAATGAACAGAGATGCAGATTATGAGTACAATGGGAAGAAAAGAGGAAAGAAACAAGATGTCACATCGCATAAATTAGAGAAAGGTAAAGGGATCGATGAAGTAAGCAACCAAATTGAATGTGGAATTATTAACATTGATGACTCAAATGGGGAGACAACTACACTAAAAAAACCAGGCAAGAGAGAACTTAATAAGTGGTGGAAAGCTTGGAAAACTTTGACTCCCCAAGAATACAACAAATTGAAGCAAATCCACGACTTAGCAGGTGACTCGTAAGTATCAAATTTGCTCAAAAAATAACAATATGTATATATATGTAGATGAAAATAGTGTAACACTATGTTGTCATAATATCTTGTTATGGTATATGAGTTTAACACATGTTTCATATTAGAATGCAACATGTGATGTGACTAATCCTAGTAAATCATTATAGCCAATATTTTTTGTTGATGTTTTTTGCTGTGGTTATCCATTTGTAGGACTATAATATGACATGCAAGAGGTGTTGAAAGTTGTGTAGATGGTAAAGATGCTATTAAGTTGATGGGTGGCTGTGAATTGTACAACACTATATGTTTTTTGATGTATTAAATGTTAGATTACACCAACCAAATCTTTTTAAAAAAATGAATAATGCAACTTTGATATGATTATCATTTGAGGTTATTTGGCTATTATTTACAGAAAAACCATATCTTGTATTAGGTTATAGATTCTTGGGCTAATATATTGTGGAAGATGGATGAAAACAACGAATCGTCAACATTTAAGCGACAGTGTTTTTTCTTCAACAATCTTTATTGGGTAAGTTAGTTGATACTTAATTATAAATACCTATTGTTAGTCTTTTGTGTCATGAAAAATATATTATTTTTCTTGTATTTCAATTTGTAGTCTCTAGTAACTAAAGGTAATATAGCAAATGCATGCAACAACCATCAATTGGTTGGACAAGAATATCAATACCTAGTATTTCCAATGAACTCAAATGGTAAAAAAGCTTCTTGTGTTCCTTCCCACTGGACATTGCTTGTGTTAGACACTGAAAATGAGAACTGGACACACTACAACTCTTTCAGGCCAAGGGAGAAAGATGTCCTCGATGCTTGGCTCGAGGATGCAAAAATATTGATAAACTACAAGACCATTTTCATATGTTGTCAATGTCATCCAAAACCATTTCAATAACTAACAAGTTTGTTAATGTAATAGAAAAAATATGTGGAGAAAAAGATTTCATAGATTTAGATTGCAATAGGCACCCTATTGGACATATAAGACAGATTGCTACCCATCGTACCATGTGACAACTGTTCACAACAAAAATCTAACTCGTACGTAATTCCCATATTTTTTTTGGAAATCACCGCATATAATGATATTAACTGCACGTACAACACAATTTCAATTGTAGTGTGTTCATTTGCCATATAATGAAGAAGCTTGCAATAGGAGAAGAAGTAGAAGAAAAATGGACTGCTGCACAATTGAGAGAGCTCCGCGTAGAAATGGTGACAATGTTTTTGAACTATAAAAGTTCTTGGACTGAAGAAGGGTACAATGAAAGCAACGACGTTGGGAATAGATTTTCTGACAAATGATTGAGCCTATCTTTTGTAATTGTGCACCTTTTAAATACGTTCATGATATGAAAATTTTGGCTCCTAACTAGCACTTTTTTGGTGTTAATTTTGTTGGTGGTGGATGTATTGCAGTTATTTTATGAGTGTATTAGCTTAACATGGAGACATTTCTTTTTTTGACATCTAATGTTATTTATGATTTGCTACATCATATGATTTGTTATAGAGAGCACATGGAATATAGTGACATTGTAGTGTGATAACCAAATGTCATGCTATTTTTTGTTTTTTTGGAAAAGAGTGACATGTTAATGTGAGTTTTTAATGTTCTCAAAACAACTGACATTGTAATGAAGAAGTCACAATTTGTATAACTAGACAATGTTAAAAAAATATGAAGAATGACTTAATTCCTATTTGTGATAGAATGATATGGTAAAGTAACATTTTATTTTTTGAATTATTTGTCACACAAATATTACTGTGACATCATTAAAAAAGATCAAGATATCAAACTTGTGGCTCTAATTAAACACTTTTTGTCTTAAATTTATGAGTGGTGGCTATACTGCAATCATGTTAGGAGTGAATTAGTTTAGTATGAAGACATTTCTCTTGTGACATCTATTGTTTTATATGCTATGCAACAACATATGATTTGCTACATAAATCATATGACTTTACAGTGACATTGTAAAGTGGCATCCAAATTTTTTTTTTTTTTTAAGGAATAGAGAGATATATTAATGTGACTTATTAATACTGTCAAAACAACTTAAACCATAATGAATGAGACTCAGTTTGAATTATTAGACAATGTTTAAAGAAACGAAGACCAACTGTATTCCTAATGTGTGATTTAGTGACATGGTTTAGTCACATTTTATTTTTTGAATTTTTTGGCACCTGATATTGCATTGACATACAATTGTTTAATTTTATAATAGTGGGACATCATATTTGTTAGCTTTGTGATAATAGAGTGACATAATATTGTGATAACATTTATAAAATGAATGGAATGCCTAAAATTACTCATACAAAAAAAAATTTTGGAAAAAAACCCAAACATTATAATCATACCATACCACCACACTTTTGGCATACATGACTTCCTACATGTACAACAAAATTGAATTACGATATGTACAATCTAGTTACAAGTTAGGGTTAGAAATTTTAGTGCCTAGTAATTAACATTACAGACTAAATATCAAATTGATAATCAAGGTACCATAAAATATGAAAAACAATAACAGAGAACAATTCAAATTAAATTAAACCAATGACCAATGTCATCAAATTTTAATGGTTGACCAATTATAATGGTTAATTACATGTTTTCTTATTGTGACTACCAAAACGACCACAACGCATATGCTTAATGAGTTCATCCATTGATCTAATTCTTCGCTTCCTTGGTCGCCCAAATTGCGTTTTAGTCGATGGTGGCAATATATCAATATCTTCAATTGAAAAATCTGGACCACCAAATGTAGAGATTGGGAAGATCATTTCAGCATACGACTCCCTGTATGTGCTCACGTGATAGAAATAATTAATAAATTCTTTTATAGTCCGGCCACTCTTTCATATGACAGATACCACATGTGAACAAGAGAACCCATTAATTTGCCACTGATGACATGTGCATGTGCCATTTACAATGTCAACAGACACCGAAGGGTACGAATTCACATCCTACACATCATTGTCTAAAACACGTACAGGCCAAGACCTTCATTCATTAAATGCAATTTGCAATTTTGCATCCATATTTGGACATAAATTACCATTCCAATTGGACGATGTCTTCATCCTACAACCCATTAGATTCATAAGTTATCCCTTTATAGTGTTAATCATGCTAGTAATTAGTAGATGTCATGCTTTTGTAATCCAATCATGAAAAGACTCGACTGTAGTAGATGACATTTTACTATAACGATTGCATGGAAAATGAGCATTGACCCAATGTTCATATGGGAGATTTGCCAGAAACCTGTCAACATCACAACCACCTTCACGCCTTAAAGCACCAATCTTGTCATTGAATAAAAATATTGTCGGTGCATAAGCACACTCACATAGCAGAAATACAATATGCTTCTTGAATGTGTTGGAAAAATGCCCACCACTAAATTTGTTCTTTAAATTTGCCTTTAAATGCTGCAAGCAAAAGGCATGATGAGCATTCGAAATTTTTTTTAGCATAGCCTTTAATAAGCCAATGTTCCAATCAGAAACGAACGTAATCTCCCATGTATGATCTACAATATCGATAAGTTGTTGTAGAAACCAATGCCAATTTGACTTATTTTCAGAATCAACCCCTACAAATGTTAGTGGCAATAAACCTGCAACATATAATATAATAATTTTTAATTCAAATTAATCCGTCAAAATCAACAAAACAATTACAACAAACAGTAACANTAGGAGAAGAAGTAGAAGAAAAATGGACTGCTGCACAATTGAGAGAGCTCCGCGTAGAAATGGTGACAATGTTTTTGAACTATAAAAGTTCTTGGACTGAAGAAGGGTACAATGAAAGCAACGACGTTGGGAATAGATTTTCTGACAAATGATTGAGCCTATCTTTTGTAATTGTGCACCTTTTAAATACGTTCATGATATGAAAATTTTGGCTCCTAACTAGCACTTTTTTGGTGTTAATTTTGTTGGTGGTGGATGTATTGCAGTTATTTTATGAGTGTATTAGCTTAACATGGAGACATTTCTTTTTTTGACATCTAATGTTATTTATGATTTGCTACATCATATGATTTGTTATAGAGAGCACATGGAATATAGTGACATTGTAGTGTGATAACCAAATGTCATGCTATTTTTTGTTTTTTTGGAAAAGAGTGACATGTTAATGTGAGTTTTTAATGTTCTCAAAACAACTGA